TCCCCAGAGGCTGCGTGTTGTTCTCCTCGTCGCGAAACTTTCAGCTCCTTCTATTTTCGATCAGACCAGACATCGGCTAATTTATGAATCGTTCCGCGCCACTTTCGGCGCTGTTCTTGCTTATTTCCCACTCACTTTCTCTCTCTCTCTCTACTCGCGCTTGTTTCTACGTGTTTTTCTCTCCGTCTTGCAACGATCGCGCGAGAGGGTAACCCCGGGGCCGACACGAAGCCCGATTTACGATTTGAGGGGTGCATCCGGCCGGAACGAGGCGAGAGAAAGAGGGAACGGAGCGCCGGAAGCGGAGGAAATAACGGGACCCGGCTGTTAAATATTCAATAAACGCGGGCATTATTCCTGGCACGTCGACGCGGAGGCTGGCTCGCGAAAGAGTGCAGGTGAAGCGAGAAAAATCGCGAGGGTGGTTGAGGTGTGAGATGAATATGGTAGGAAGGTGGTGGAAGAATCGAAAGGGAAGAACATGAACGGCTATTTGTACGCCCTCGTGAATATTCCTGATCGAGAAAAACAACACTTTGCGTACACTGCTGTTCGTAAAGTATTAGGACGCCCGTTATACTCGTACAGAAAATATAAGAATGCAATAAAATATGATAATTTAGTCAGTTATGGGTGCAATAAAATATACAAATTTTAGCTATTTAAGAAAATAATAAAATATACAAATTCTAGCCATTTAAGGCCATTTACGAATATAAATATTCCTCGTTCGAAAAAATAAAACATATAACAGAAAAATATGTTTCAGATTGAATATTTTTTTCCTTTTTCAAACTTAATGATATTTTAATGACCATTTAGGTTCGTTTCACGTTTAGCAAGTGTCCTAATATCTATGAACAGGAGTGCAGACACAGTGCAGAGTGTAAAAAAGGATTCTACACGAAGAACTATCAAAAACATCGACCAACACTTCCACACGTGCACTCCATGAATTTTCACCGTCGATTTGCCCGAAACCGAAGCTTTCTACATCAGTACATCGCTCAACATATTCGACTGACTTTTTTTCCTCCGCAGAATACTTGTACAGATGCGTCTGTTCGGAGCGTAAAGAAGCTTCCAGCCGAAAAGAGACCGTAGGACAAAAAGTGTCCGTTGCCGTGCATAAACCGCGATCTCTGTTTCACCGGTCGTTTCGACTCGACTCGATAAATTTTCATGATCGGACCTCGTAAATGAATCGCCGGTAAAAACGGACGAAGACGTGTACGGTAATTGACGACATTAATGTCCGGAATGCCGTAAAAGCGAGCGCGAAATGAAATACGACGTTTCTCTCTCCGGCGGCGGAGAGCCGCGCGCGCGTTCCGCTTTTGGTCCGCCTCGCCGCCAACAAATTATACCGGCGGACGACGCCGTTTTTCTTTTTCTCCCTTTTCAAAAGACAGAAGAAGAGGGAGAGAGAGAGAAAAGCCAGCAAAGACAGACAGAAGGGGGGTACTGCAGCGGCGGCAGCAGCGAGGACGGAGGAGACGTCGCACAAAAGAGTGAGAGAGAGAAGGGAAGAACGAAAGAGTGGTTCGAAGGAGAGAAAAATCGGGATATTTACAATGGCGGTCACGATCGGGCGACGAGAAAACGGGAAATTCAAATCGGCCGATCACCGCGATGAATATGGATGTCGACTGGCGCAAGAAAAACACGACGGAGAGATCTTTGTGATGCAAATTTCGCGACGGTCCTTGTCTTTATTAATATCGAGAATGTGTTTTCGACGGGAAGCTTCCTCTCCTCGTCCCTTCGTGGAAAGAGAGAGAGAGAGAGAGAGAGGAGGCAAAGAGAGCGTTTGGTGCTCGTCCACTCTCATTTTTCTCTCCTTTTTTTGTCCCTCCCTTCTCTCGTCTTTCTCTCTTTGCACTCGGGGTTAATTCTCGATATCAAACGAACCACTTCCGATTCTATTTCTGCCTGTTTACTCGGTAAACGAATCGCCTGGGACCATTAAGTGGCGAAAGTATTGTGTGTGTGTATATACACACACGGAGAAACACACCGGCGGGCAACCTTGCGCCATTTTTCTTTCGGCTCTCGCGACAAATTCTGTTGAGATATCGTCCGGCGGATGACGCAAACAGAGTTTCAAAGAGAGTCGCGAGAAACGTAATTTTTCCGCGCAAACAACGAAACGATGGTGACTTCAAATGGTCAGGAAACGTTACTTCAAACGTTAGTTCCTCTTCTTCTCTTTTTTTTTCTAACCTTTCTTTCCTCTCGACATCCTGTATGCGGACAGTGTTTCGAGCGTTAGAGGTTGGGCGTGAAAAAGAATTCGTGGACGACCTAGATAATTCTGTTGACAGACCGGAGGGGTTTGGCAAATGGAAAGCATTGGATCGGGATTTTGGTTAACTGTACACTGTCGGGTTGACTCTTCTTTTTTTCTTCTTCTTTTTTTTTTTGGCGATTCGTGATATTCACTTTTTGCGCTGTTTTGAATTTTAAATGCCGCCTGTCTGGTGCGAATTGCATTGAAACGCAGACTTTCGTTCGCTACGAAATGTCTGCATAATTCGAACGCGTTTTAAACGTGTCGAACTGATAATAAGTGGCGGTGCTTACGAACTAAAGCCTCACTCTACGATCAACACTTAAATTTATTAATAATAAAAGAATACAAACTGAATATTAATATAAAAGTAAAGTGAATCTGCACATGGCTCGCACATACTTCCCGCTACGTACTCAAGTGCACACTGCCGTCGTGCGGGCATAAAAGAAAGATAAAAAGGACAAACATCGTATTCAGCCTGATGAGGTGGGAGAGCAATCTACGCTTCATATTATTTCTGTAGAAAAAATTCAGCAAAAAGTTGTGATATAATATTTAATACGCGAAACAGCTTCGACCGGATCGAAATACAGGGTGTTTCAAAAGAAATCTTATCACTTGTATGAGGAACTTCTACGTTCGTATATTTTCTTTTCTTCGCAAGGGGAAAAATACTCGAAGAATGTGTCGACAACGACGGTGAACGGGTAGAGACACCTTCAAGACAAAACACATTTCTTAACAATATACAGTGTTCCACACGTCATTTCGATTAATTCGAACTAATTATTTCACTATTTATATCTATTCCCACACATTTCAAGCTCGTATAAAAATCAGACGATGCTTTTGATATCACCTACTACGACACGATGACAAAAACACGTAAGAAATACCAACGACCTCGAGAAAATTTTTTTCATTTATCATAATATTTGTGCTTTCCAAACAAATAATCTCAACTGCAATATTTGTTCATATGAAAAAATAAACGCACAATTTAGGCGTGGCACCCTGGTACTATCACCTCTCGCTCCTCCAAAGTATCAGCATTTCCTTTCAAATCACCCTTACTCAAAGAATTAATCAGCTCTAATGTAATTCAATCCATTTCGTATCCTCCCCGCGTGAAACTAATTCACGCTCGCGCTCCGAAACGCGCGAAAGAGAGAGGGAACATCCTCCCCAACTCCGTACGTCTCCCAAGGCGCGGAAATAAGCTCAATAATTCGTAATAAAGGGCTCATCCTCGACTTTTTCTCAATTCGAAAGTCGACGGGAAGAAGTCTCTCCCTTCTGCAATTTGCATGTTATTACCTTGTTTACATATTTATTCAATAGCCCAAGAGAGATCCCCGGAGGAGAATCCTCTCCGTAATCCCGAGCCCGTCCCTTCTCCCACCCCACCCTCCACGTCCCTTTAATTTCGGATTAAGGGTCACGCGCGAAACCGCGCCGGCTCCGCCGATTAGTAAGTCGCCGCACGGATATTGGCTCCGGTGTTGTACTCTGTGGCGCGCGCGCTCGCTCGCGCTCACGCGTCATGAATGAAAACATAAATTTCAGCGTGGCACGTCGAGCTATCGCGCGTTAAGTCAACGAAGTAATTACTATACCGAGCTACCGGTGCACGTGCGTGTACGACAGGTTTCTCTCACACGCGCGCGTAATATCCTCGCGTGTATGTACAGGCGAAGCAGCAGGACACGCGTAAATCAGTATACGTGCGCGTATATCACCGTACATACAGATACATTAACGCGAAGTAGAAAGGAAGGGAGAGAGAACAACTCGTATACATACAATTCATGGCTTCTATCGGCGTGCGCGCGGTTCGATGATATTCATTTGAAATTCAAATGAGCAACACACAGGCACACCGCGAAGAGAGAAGAAGGCTTACCTGTTTATGCATTTCCACGTTCAGCCCGTAGGACATCTCGTAATACTGGAAGAATAAAGAGAAAGAAAAAAACGGTTAGGATATATTAGACATGAGAGATATAAAGTGCGGCGGTGGTAGAACCGCAACGGCGCGAGATAATATAGAGAGGAAGCGTGCTGGTGTTACAAGCGTTAACGCGATGCGTCTTGTGCAATGGTACGCGCGCCGCGCGGCGACCGTATGAAAGGGTCGTCGTCGTCTCTTCTCTTCTCTGCACTATCGCGGCGAGCTTGTTGTCTCACGGCCGTGGCGAACGTGAGGAACATGCGCGCCCCCGGTGCAATCGCGCTCGTGTGTCTGGGCTCGTTGAACGAAGGAGAAAGAAACACGGCTCGTGTGGGGATTCGCGGGATGTGCTTGTTGGAAATTGTACGGTGAGATTGAAATAGGCGCGCGAAAATTTCGTAGGGAAATGGTTAGTTGTATGAACGATTAACACGTCCAATGCTGGACCAATTCTGCGTAACTTGTCCACAGTGCAGAAACGAATTTTTTATTTTAATAGGGCACGTCGAAATGTGTCTACAGTTGAGAAACAAGACTGTTTGTAGGAACCTGGGGAAAAATTTTTTGGGACCCAACGGGAATCGAACCCGGGGCCTTCGGCGTAGCAAGCCGAGGCTTCGCGCACTACGCCAACTAACAATTTAACAATTTAGTTTTTATTTGTGTCTTAAGTGTGGAATTGGTTTAATAATAAGTTGCGAGTGATGGCGTGAATGTAGTGTGTTTGTCGAATCGTCTCGAGATTTGGAAAATGAGCGGATCATACAGGGGAAGAGGGAGTAAAACAGTAGAACCGCGTTGTTATTGGTATCCGAGAGTGCGTGAGAATTTATTGCGAGATATATTTAGAGAGCGTTGATCAAATTATCATTATTTCTTTTTACGTGTGTTTACAGTTACTGTTATAAAATATATTGCTACTGAACTTATTATCAAGTGTTATACAACCACATTAAGTGCTTATGCATATTACATAGTTAATTTAGATATAATATTATTCTAAAGTTTTAGGTTGCGTTGCCTGTCCGGAGACATTTGGCGCATGTCCTGCGTTTTCCTTACACTTTTCAGTGCTTGTTGTGTAAATATACGCCCCGATATCTTAACCTACGATTTTTTTACGACTATACGTCTAAGTGTCAGTCATTTACTGTTTTAGTACCGTGTCAGGTAAGAAAAGTTTATCAGTGTTATAAATTCAAAGGAAAGTTAGGATTACGATGAATTTTTTTTATTAATATCTTAGTCACATCTTGACTGGAATCTCTGTCACGAGAGTGACTCGTTGTTACAGGTTAAGGGGTTAAATATGCTGTGTGAAATATCACCGTTCATTCGAGTTAAATGCTTTTGCCAGTCTTGGCACCATAAGTGTTAACTATAAGTAGAACAACTTCATTCGAAGCATTCTTTCCTTTTTCTTCTCAATTGCACCACAATTTCCGATACACCTTGTATGCAGCACTCTCTTTCTCGCGAAAGCAACGAGTCTGCACATTTCATTTCTCCTTCAACTTCCCCACCACACGCTCCCTCTTAGACCGACCACTTTAATTGAATCGATCTGCATGCAGGTACATTCGCGAACTCCTCTCTCGACCGAGGACGATCGAGATAAGGTGAATTTGTGCCAGGAGCCGGATGATAAATAATTTCGCCGTACCGCCAAACCTGAATAAAACAGAAGAAGAAGAAGAAGAAGAGGCATTTTCGAGGCGGGCAAAAGTGACGGGGGCCAGAAGAGAGGTTCTCGATCGAGTGTACTCAGCTGCAACTTATTATGCAACGCGTGATTCAATTGAGCCCGATCGCCAAGGGTACCAAAACCAGACCCAGGCAATCTCAACGATCGGTCTTCCCCAGCTAATGGAACTCACTTTGTATTAACGCCGTCCATTATATAAGTATAATACAGCTGCAACTCTTCCTCCTCTAGGTACATCCTAATTTAATCGTGCCCGAGAGACGCCGACGACGACGACGGTTCGACACCGAAAATATCCAAGGGTGAAAAGGGAAGGAAGAGAGATCCAGGGTATATAGTAACGTAGGGTAGAGATAAAGAGAGAGAGCGAGAGATAAGTCGAAGGTAGTCGGTTAAGCCGAGCAGAAAGATTCCCAAGGGCTAATCGAATTATCGAGTTACCTAAACCGAGATGCTGCTCGAATTCGTAATAACGTCTAAAAGAACCCTTCGAAGAGGGTCTTTAGGGCCGGCTACACGGCTGCCGAGAGCCGAGATTACATCGATCGAACGAGATTACGAAAAGCGGGCTAAATTGAGCCGTAATGCGAGATCCCGGCCAAGGAGGAGGATAAACGCGCGGAGAAAATGAGAAAAACGACCAGCGGAATCGTTCTACCTACCCTTCCAGCGATTCTCCTCGCTAAGAGGAGTTTATGCACACGTGTGTGTGTGTGTGTGTG